TTTATTAAGTAGATTAGTCGTTCTTTCATTTACGATCTCTTCTACTTAACTTATTATCCAGTTTCACCTCGGATAATAGAACCATTTCATCATATATGCTTAATCTTTACACAGATAGCTCACATGAAACACTTCATGAATATCTGTCAAATCTTCAGTCAATTCCAAGTAGTAAGCTTGCTTACTAACTGTTCTTTCTTCCAAAGTAGAATAACGCCTTTTCATGAAATACCTTCAGTATTACTAAATCATCCACCCGGAATTCTATGGGTCGTCTCCTCTTTTCTGCATAGGACATTTGTCGATCCTGGTCGCTTTCATTCTTTCTCGGCAAAATTTATATCTTGTCAGTGATGCATTGAATCATTTCGGATCCTCCAAAGATCTTCTGTCCTACGTCACGCCAACATATTTGAGTATGGTATTTATGCTCATATAGTACTTTATATACCTTCGGCCTATGAATTTTCCCTTTCTACCATTCGGCCTAAAACACAACTCAAGGGTTAAATCTGTTAACCAACATTACCTCCTTCCACAAGGACTAAGCTTGGTTCCTTAAGGCCCAAATCTTTACACAATCGACTTCCCACCATTGCCCATAAATGGTAGGAAACAGGATGTTAAATTTGATCCGTGTCTTTCACATATTAGTAACATACTATGAACACTATGTATACAAAAATTCCTATGAACAAACTAATTCATAAGAAAAGAAAACTAATCTTTAAGATTGTTATTGTAAACAACCTTGAATCCTTCTTCAAATCTTTTGGCAGCTAGCACTACAAGTGTCGTGTCTCTGATGGTTCACACCCAAGACTAGCAACCAAGGATTATGTAGAGGGAGGAGGAGAATTTCGGCCAAACCTCTTCTAGGGTTAGGAGTACCAAATTTGTGAAGGGTAAGGCCCTTTATATAGGCGAGGTAGCTTAGAGCCAAAGCTAGGGTTTATGGAGGAAACCCTAACCCCTTTGCTTGGTGACCAAGCAACTTATGAGCCTCCATCTAATAGCATTTGGATGAAAATTCAAGACCCTTCCTAGAAGTTTTCGTCCAACCTCATACAAGGAGGTTCTAGAGCCATTTTCCTCAACTATCAATAAATAGCCAAACAGCTCATACACTTTTAATTAATCTAATTAATCACCAAATTAATTCTAATTAATTTTTGATTAATTATTAATTAAATATCATAATTTCTAATTAATATATTATTCTCATAATATATTAACAAATTATATATATATATATATATATATATATATATATATATATATATATATATATATATATATCAATGTATTAATCAAATAATAAATCATATTCTCTGTCCAAAATAATGTTGTCCAATTGCTAGGTTGAGGGCAACCCAAACGGACTGTGCTACCATCAATTCAAGTTATACCAATTATAGCTATGGTCTTAGACACCTAATCCAACAAGATGATCATTCTAATTACATTAGCTTGATTCTTAACTGTTTATGATTATTAAATTGTAAGAACCAGAGATATACCCAATCCTAGGGCTTGGTAATATAAATTATTAACTTTAATTGTATTAGAGAATTATAGTTATCCATGATATGCTTAATTTATTGTCGTGGCTATTGATAAGAATTGTTAGATCATATCGTTCATAATTGAATTTAATTATATGGTTTTGTGTGATGGTTTTTATAGGTTATAAATCTTTGCATGAGGTAGAAAATAACTTAACTCTTAAGTTTACATGCAACCGAATTGGATCTATGTTTTTTCTATTGATATCAATAAACTATAAAATCAAGAACGCTAAGTAAACTCTATAATAATCAAAATTTACACAGAGTTAGGGTTTACAAACGTTTTGATTATCATAGTAAATAACCAAACAAAATTCCTTCTTGAAAGCCTTATAAAGCAAGCACCAAAAATATGATGTCTCTAATGGATCGCACCTAAAACCTTAGAAACCCTAGAATGAAGAGGAGAGAGAGAAGAGAGGAAGAAATATGCGTTCCTAAATGAGAACTTGGAGGAAGAAGTATATGTTTCACAACCCAAAAGATAAAATAAAGAGGGAGAAATCGAAAAAGTCTATAGGTTGTCAAAGTTGCTATATGAGCTAAAGCAAGCACCAAGGGCCTAGAATGCATGCTTAGATAAGTACTTGAAAAGTTTGGCTTTTCATGAGATGTGCACTGGAATACTCTGTATACACGAAGAAAGACAATAGTAACACTCTAATTGTTGGGGTATATGTGGATGACTTGTTGGTGACATGTAGCTATGATCGAAGTGTTTAGAACTACAAGAAAGACATGAATGCCAAATTTGAGATGGGCGATATAGGTCTCTTGACTTACTACTTGGGTATTGAGGTAAATAAACAAGATACATGCATCATATTGAAGTAGGAAGCATATGCAAAGAACACTCTTGCCAAGACTCGAATGTTAGACTGAAATCCCACCAAAATCCCGATGGAAGACAAATTGAAGCTAATAAAAGATGAAGAAGAAGTAGAAATGGTAAATCCCACGGAATACAAGAGCTTAGTTGGAGGACTAGGGTATTTGACACATACCCATCCTGACATTGCATTTGCAGTTGGCGTGGTCACTTGGTTCATGGAAAAACCAACAATGAAGCATCTTCAAGCCGTGAAAACTATACTAAGGTGTGTAAAAGGAACCTTAGACTGTGGTTTAGAATACACAAAAGGAGAAAAAGAAATCAAAATCACTAGGTACACAGACTGTGATTTTGCAAAGGATGTAAATGATAGAAGAAGCATAGCTGGTATGGCGTTTTATGTGAATGGGAATTTGGTGACTTGTATATCTAAAAAATAGAGGTGTGTAGCTTTGTCTTCATGTGAGGTAGAGTTTATGACAACTACCATCGTAGCTTGTCAAGGGATATGACTGAGACGACTTCTCAATGATATAACTGGTCAAAACATAACACCTGCGATCATGTATGTTGATAATAGGTCAGCTCTTGACCTCATGAAAAACCTTGTGTTCCATGGTAGGAGTAAACATATCGACATAAGATTTCATTTTATCATAGAATGTGTGGAAAATGGAGAAATAACTGTGACTTGTGTATGTGGAAAAGAGCAGAAAGTAGGCTTGCTCACAAAACCATTGGCAAGTGTGAAACATGAAGAGATACGAAATCTGATTGGAGTAAAGAAGAATGGAAACTCTGAATTAAGGGGGAAAATGCTAAAATAATTCAAATTCTTTGATTATTATGCTCGTTTTATTTGAAGTAGAATAATTCAAACCCATTTGAATACTTGCTCCTGGTCTTTATATAGCAGTAGAAGTAATTCCTATTTTCATGCAAGTTTTATGTTATATAACTTGGCATATTGTACGAGGTGTGTATCTTTTCCTCTTTTAGTTTATGAATAAACAAGTACAATTTTGCCTACTGTGTACTTTGTTTTTCTATCCCTTGCTCCTGTTATCAATAAGAAAAGTCTCTATTCCCTGTGAGAAATCTAACAAAGTGGTTGTTATGCTACTTGAAAGGAACCTTACACGTTTTTATACTTGTAGAGGGAAAAAGGTCGTCCTTGAATGCTTTGTGATGCTAACTTGGGGCTTATTTGTACAGGTTATATGTTTACAATTACAAGAACATCAATCGGTTGGATTTCAAGACAACAGAAGAGTGTTTCTCTTTCAGCCACCGAAGCTAAGTGCATGGCTATAGAAAAAGCTGGCAAGGAGCTTATTTGGTTGAAGGACTTCCTTTCGAAGTTGGGTTTGGATTAAGAAGATTGTGTCCTACATTGTGATAACTATAACGTGGTTCACCTAGCAAAGAATCTAGTGTTTCATGGAAGAACGAAACACATCAAGATGATGTATCACTTTATCCGAGAATTGATAAGTGATGGTACCTTAAACTTGAATAAGATCCTCGATACGAAGAATTCAATGAATATGTTTAACAAGGCCATAATAACTAAGATGTTGAAGTTATGGTACATTGCTTGGATGTCAGTAAAGGTTCGATGGGAGATTGTTGGGATGTGAGTTTGATCTAAGACAGAAACAAAGTTGTTACGACTTCAAATAATATGGTTGTAGTTCAGAGAACATATGTTGCGTTGTTCAAAGAACAAGAGGTTGCATGTAGTAGAAAAGTGAGGAAAATTTTTGGTAGAAGCGAAATCTTTTTTCACTTATTTCTTGGAGACCAAGTTTTATTATGCACAATTTCAATGATCGATCTATGTTGTTGATATCATAGACCCATAAGTTCAATCCAAAACAACTAAGTCAGCGACACTATAAATAATCTAATTTATTGTAACCTAGGATATACAGGAAGTTTATCAATAAAATCTCTCTCTAGTCAAAGCATGACTAGTTTGATCAAGTGAACTTAAATTCTTGTGTTATTGTTTCGCGTTTTGTATTTGTCGAGTTGCTTCTTAACCCCAAACAATTTATACATGTAGATTTGAAGCTATGATCAACTTACAAAAAGTTTGAATCCACATCCTACAAACGCATTACAAGATACGAAGCAAAGTTCATATATGTGGTTCCATTATATGACCAACAACTTACAAAAAAAAAAAAAAAAAAAAAAAAAAAAAAAAAAAATCAAACCCACATCTAGCGACAAAAGTTTATTAATGTGGATTCAAACCTATTACCAACAAGTTCCAGAAAAAGCTTAAAACCCACATCTTGAAAATGCATTACCACCAAGAAATAAAGCCCATACTTGTGGTTCGATCGTGTGACCACAACTGGGTTTGTGCAAAAATACCGAAACCAAATTAAAATCATAATCAGAAAAACAATTCATTCTAAGATTTGACGAGATGGTTTCCTATTTTCTAAATAAAACCAAAATTTTATTTTTATTTTATCAAATAAAAACCAACCCATACCATACCTTAATATGATGTCATTTTTATACCAAATATAAGTTCTTCATTTGATCATTTATATAGTATCTTTCTAGTTTCCATTCATTGCAAATATAAACGGATAACATATTTTTTGTTATTATATACTACAAAATTCACAAACTTACAAAAATAGTTTTGAACCCATATCATGCAAAAACCCTTTACAACTTAAAAATATTGTATTTCAACCTAGGAGATGAATCACATAACGTTCACAATTTGCATTTTCATAAAACTAACTATATATAAAACATGGGAACAACATGGCTTACACAAAAAACCAAACACCATCATCATCCCCTATAATCAACCAAAACCTCAAACCCCCACAAAACAAATCAAATTATTTCGATCAATAAGACAATAAATAATCAACCCGTTTTTCATCACTAATGACTACAAAGTTGTTTCAAGTTTTGAGACTCAATCCTCCCATGAACTTTTGCCAACTCACACGTATGTTTTGTTATAATCTCATAAGTTGAAGCTCTCTTCCATGGCACTATTCCAAAATCATCATTATAATCCTCCATTCCTTCCACAAAGTATTGCCAAGCAAAAGATCCTCCACCTGCCCCCTTTTTCTTTGCAGATTCATAAATGACGTCATATACAGTTTTGTAGAATTGGTCTCTTTGTGAAGGGTTAAAGCCTTTGTTTAAATCTGATAAACCGAATTCTGTAAACATCACGGGTTTCTTCAACACTTGGTCCCCATCTTCAATGTGGGAACGCATCCATTTAGCAACAAATTTTAGTTTTCCTTCAAGACTCTTCTTTTTAAACCTACGGAAATGAAAACAACAAAACACGTTCAATTTTAACCTTTTCTATAACTTATGATTTCAAACTCCAGCGCCAAATGAACAACATGATACGAAAATTCAGGAAATAAATATAATAAAGATGATGAAAAGTTACCAATGGTCAGGATATATATGAACAGACGCAAAATCAATGGTGGAGGGTGCAGAATTACGAATAAAATCAGCTCCAAGATCAGCAGCCCAAAATTCGGGATTGACTGAATCTTTCTTTGGGCTTTTTGGCCCATAAAACCCTTCAAGCCCAATAGTCAACATATGTTTTCTGTCGATTGATTTTATAAAGGACGACATTTCTTCTATCCAGTCCTGCATTTATTTTCCACACATTTGGAATGTAATTTCAGTTAGGGTTTATTATTTTTCACTGCTATAATAAAGCGGTTTTTTTTTTCTTTTTTTTAAAGCAAATTAAATTACTTGTAGGGTGTCACCAGAAGCATCAGTGATGCAACGAGGCTCATTAATTAACTCCCACCCAAAGATAGTGGGATCATCCCTGTACACAACTCCTGTGATGGAGTTCTTCCTTGTCAAGATGGTCTGCAATAAAAATAAAAAATTTGATTTATGAAACTGTTACATTTAATTTATATTTTTCCTATTATAACATTTCATAGTATAAAGGATTCAAGTAGTACCTTGACATAATTCTTAAAATAAAGGCGAATTGATGGATCAAAGAAGAAGGAATCATTAGAGGCACTCAAACCAACGCCTTCATCCCATGCCCATTTTACATACTGAGTCTTGCCACCATATGCTTGGAGGTTATTAACCAGGCTAAACAAAAGTCGTATTCCAACTTGTCTTGATTCTGCAATCACATAATCCAATGCCTGCAATAATCCCCATTTTTTCAATCGATTAAGTGATAAACATTAAAAAAAAAAAAAAAAATGTATAGCGGAAAATTTATATACAAAATGATCCATAATAATGTAGCTCAGAAGTCGGTTATTTGGATTAAGAATGCGAAGCATGGATATTTAGCATCAAATTTGAATTGTATCAACCAATCGGAATTCAGAAATGAAAATACCCAAAAGGGACCAAGTATATGAAAATATAAAACACATAGACAAAGAAAGGATAGACAAATTGCACACGTAACCACCTGCGCTATAAATTTAATCTTTATAATCAAATCGTATCAAGAATGCTACTATGAATGAATGAATGAAAAAAATTTTTTTTTACACAAAACAAGAAGTTTGTACCTTGAATGCGACACTATGAATGAAAAATACAAAATTATATCCAAAACAACACCTTGAATAAGACACTATAGATGAAAAATACAAGTTCCCCAAAAAAAATAAAAAATTATACACAAGAGAACAAGTTTTTACCTTGAATACGACATTATGAATGAAACGTATATGAGAATTTATGTACAAAAGAACAAGGTTTTACCTTGAATACCCTTTCATCAAATTGTCCAGGGGCAATCTGAAGGGCATTATAGTCACCATCGTTAAAAGCCCAAGTTCTACACACTGTCAACCCCATTTTAGCTGCAGCTTGAAGCATTTCTCTGATTCTTGGACGACTATAATCATGAACAGCATGATCCATAAACCAATACGAATTCCAACCATTGATGTAAAAAAGTTTACCATCGACGATGAAATTCGTTCCATTCCTCTCCACAAAACTCAATTTGGGGTCGGTTTTGTAATTTACAGATAAGAAATCCCCAAAAGATAGGTAAAGAAAAACAATACAAGATGCAAATCCAAGTATTGGATAAAGCAAATTATTGCTACCCATTATTGATTTAACCATAAATACCAGGATTTAGAAAGGGTTTTCTTGAAAAAGATTTGATCTTTCTGAAATCAAATAATCCACGCAGATGACCCAGAATCGATTTTTAATTGGATCTTCAGGTTTTTGAGCTTTTCCCCCAAAATCTTTGGAACCCCAGATGTAAAACAAGGTATTTTAGCACACCCAGATCCCGTTTTCAAGATTCTACTCAAAACTTAACGAGAAAGAGAAACTGAAGTCCAATAGAACCTAAATCAAATGAGATGCATCACAAGAACACACTGCTGAGAGTGCATTACGCGTCTATTCTGTGTGTGTGTGTGTGTGAGAGAGAGAGAGAGAGAGAGAGAGTAGGTGAAATTTAATGGAGTGTTGTCCAGAACAAGACTTTAAACGATGGAAATGGACGTAGGGTATGAAAAAAAGGTAAATAAGAGAGGAAAAACACACCTAACATGTATCGACTGCAGATTTTGTCGAAAGAAAAAGAATCAGTGAGAAAATTTTAATTAAAGGTGGAAGGAGGGGATGGTGGTGTGTGGTGGTGGTCATTTTGTCATCGGTTTTAAGGAGTGATCAGATCTGAAGTCTTGTTTATCCAGCAACTTTTTTGGCTTTTTGTAAGACAATTTGTGTGTCTTAAATATTTAACAACAGATGAACAATGTTTTTGGTTTTGAAACATTTTTATTTAACTTTCTTATTTTGTTATGGACAACTAATTAAAAACAATAGCAAGTTAGTGTAGATAGAAACTGTTTGCTGTTTTATGAATATAGGAAATGTATATTAGGTTATATGCATAATAATAGCAAATTATTTATAATAATGTACTCATATTATCCATTCGATAATAACATTATGTATTTTATAGCAATACATTTATATTTATTTATACATAGTTACATTATACTTATAATCTGTCGTACTACTACGTTGAAGAATATAAATACTACGTTGAAGAATATAAATACTAGTTGTGAGACTCATTTATTATATGAGTTAATTAAAAAGAATTAAATATAAAAATTAAAATATTTGAGAACATTAAATTTATAAAAAATAATAAATTATTATAATAAAAATGTTTTTTTATCTTTTCAATTTAAACAAATAATTTAAATAAATAAATAAAACTAATAAACTTTAATTTTAAGAATTTAATAAATAAAAAAAACTCATATAAATACAAGTGGAAAAAAAATTAATTTAAAGTAATCATAAAATAAAATTTGGTAAATTGATTGAAAATGTAACAAATGATAATTTTTTTTATTTATTAGAGATGATAAGGGTAAATTACTTAGATTGTCCCTGTGGTTTGGGGTAACTTGCACTTTTGGTCCCTAACAAAATTTTTTAACTCGGACAATCCATTTGTTTTGGTTTTATTGTGTCGTTGGTCCTTAAATTACATAAAAAAACTATTATGCTCTTACATATTTCCTTTTTAATTTTCTATTAGTTTTTTTTATCGTTTTTAAATAAAAAAGAATATATATATATATATATATGAGTTAGATTTATATATAAACCTTAATTATTGTATGAGTGTGTGAACCAATGAGAATTTAAAAAAAATAAATAAATGATTAATTAGTTAAATAAGGTTTCCCTTATCTACCCAAATTAAAATAGTGATATATATAGAAGAAATTCAATAGATGTTTCAAATTGATATTCTTTAAATTGTTCTTAAATAATGTCTGATACACACTTGTCATTCATGTCTTACTCTTCAAGATAAGTTAGTTTTAAACTTGTAATTCATGTTATATATTCTTCAAGAATTTTAGTTATAAACTTGTAATTCATGTTTGATTCTTGAAAAATAAATTCTAATTCTTCAAGAATATTATATAGTTATATTTACCAGATATTTGATGATCATAACAACATTCTTTCACATAAATTCTTAAAGAATTTCCTACATTCATCATTTTGTGATGTATTACTTCTATATAAATGGATGAAAAAAATTAACAACCATTCTCAAAAATTATTATTAAAACCATCGTTATACCTATATATTTGAAAACCATTATTTTTTAAATCAACTATTAGAAAAAAGAAACGTTATACATTCTTAAAGTAATGTATGCGCTTTAAAAAAACATAATATATTCTTAAAGAATTTACTACATTAAAAGAATTTATTCAAATCCTGAAATACATTTTTCATCGTATACTAATGTTTACTTAGTTTTCATTGAGATTTTGGTTTATTATTGGTAACTAATGTGTGTTTTGGAATAATCACAATTGTTAACTCCTAAATTCTCTATACTTTAATGCGTATTAATCAAATTGTCCATTATAATTACTATTTTTTATTTTTTTATTAAAAAGAAATGTTTATATGTATTGTGTTCCATGGTAACTATTGTATGCCATCTAATCTTAGTCATATAAAAAATCTAATCTAATGGTCCAAAACTTGTCATACACTCACACAATATATATCGTTCACATTTAATCCTAACCCAAATTAATGTGAGCATTTTAGACACATCTCACATAAGTAGATCAATCAGTATAATGACATAGAATTACTGAGAAATCTTATTTGTTGGTTCATAATAACGACTTATGACTCTAAATATAAGTTACACTGAAACGACTAGAGTGTACCTTAACTTACAGAGGTTCTTCCTGACAAAAAGTTAGGAAATTGAACTGACAACGCTTCTACTCGCTAGCTACTACTTCTTTAGGGATCGTAGGGCTTAACCGAATGCTAAAACTAAGGGAAAATAGGCTAGAACTAAAATAAATTGAGAGAGATAGAGTGTGTGTATGTGTTTGGGAAGTTTTGGGAGAAAGCATGAAGCTTGGCCTCCTATTTATAGCCGATTTTGGGGTGCACAACGTGCAAAAGGGGTGCACGTCGTGCATTTTAAGGTGACGTCTCCCCAACCATTTTGTGTCACGTGCTAGGCTCTTTGTGGTCCACGTTATCACCTTCTAGAAGTGTGTGTCACAGACCTAGCACGCACCGCGTGCAACGCAAAATGTAGATTTTGTAAATTCCATAACTTCTTCATACATACTCTGTTTTTGATGTTTTTTTTTCACGCTTAGCTCTCAATGAGTACTACAACTTTCCTTTAGGATCCAATGGCTAATTCTAACTTTATTTTTAACCCTTATTTTTATATGATTTAATGATTTTGCAAAAATTATAACTCTCTCCTACGGACTACGATTTTGGTGTTCCCTTTACTAAAATTTATATCTTAAAGAGTAATACGACTTCCATTTTGGTGGCTTTACCCAAAAGTCATCTATTCTCTATGTACCTTTTGATGTTAATAATTTTTAATTACGCGACTGATTTTTATATCTTATAAAATTTATATCTCCTTCATATGAACACGGATTTCTACGAAGTTTATATTTTTGGAATCACGTCGACGTATACCATAAAAATAACACACACACACACACACACACACACATATATATATATATATATATATAGTCTGCAGCACGTACGACTATAGATTATCCTATCCCCGAATTTTAATTCTAATAATTATTACTTATTATGTAGCCTGAATTTGAGGGCATTACAACCTAACTCATATAACGGGCCCCACTCAAACATGCTTACGGACCCAACCCAACTCATATAATAGGCCCCGACCAATCCCGGTCAAACTCACATAATGAGCCCCACCCAAACATACATAACGGGCCATGTCCAAGGAGTAAACGGGCCCAAACCAAACTCCATTTCCATGAGCTAGATCCTGGTCTTCCGTATAATGCCAATTCAGTCATAAACTTTATCAAAACCGATTTCAAGCCCCTCATCAAAGTAATCCTCAACCATTTCCTAAACCTTCAAAAAGCCCACCTGCATATCAACCTAACATCCTAAATCACTGATGTGTGTGAAACAAACTAGTTTTAATCCTACTAACTTAGACACAAAAATAAACACACGAAAGGCAGTGTACCTATCGATTAGTAATATAGTTCAAGCAAGTAGGGTATCGAACACAGGGAACGGTAAACAATTAAAATAAATGCTAATATTATCTAAATAAAACAAGTAAAAAAAAAAGAGTTTTCTCTAGTTTTGCAAGACTAGAAACTTAAATACTTTACTAACACGCAAACTAAGCAACTAATAGCTAAGAAAACAAAGATCAACTAAATTCAATGATTAAAAAGGCCTTCTGTTTAGGTTCGAATCATTTGTTCCCATGGATGATTTTATGGTAAATATATCGGATTAATTCTTCATTGGTTACCGACTAAAGTGATTAGATTCACATTCGCTATAGCTAATCCTTAGAAAACATATTAATTCAAGCAATGGCCAGTTGTCTAAATTAATGAATTTCCTAGTTTGTTGATTCGGGTTTAGAAAGACTTGTAATTAGCTAATCAAATTGGTGATTCAATTAACCTCTTGTTGATGGTGTATCACACAAGCTCACACATTAACTTACCTATCTTCAAGTTAATTCTAGTTTCACATTCGTTATTCCTAGACATACAACTATGTGGTCACGTAAATCATATGAAATTAGCAACTAAGAGATGTTCATACAACTTAATTACTGATTTATTAACAGAAGAATAGTTATTGTTAACACATAAGGTTCTTTAACAAGCTTAATAAAACATAATCACCAATTAAAATTAATCCTAATCAAATAATCAATCCATGTTCACAAATTCATCTACCTAAACAGAAGTTATGAGTTTTTAGCTCATGATTACAGCAGAAACAAGCTCAAAAACGAAATCAATTGGTAAAAACATAGTTCAAACAAGAGATTAGGTAAAAGTAAACTTGATTTTGACTTGATTCTCCTTAAAATTGAATGTAGGGTTGATTCCCTTGCTTCCCACGCTCCATCAGCACCTTTAGTCGACAATTGGCCTCCAAGGGTTCATCTATATCCTAGGGTATCGATCTGAAAGTCCCTTTATATAGATTTTTACAAAATAGGGGCTACTTGGCGAGTCCAGTGACCTACTCGGCGAGTCCATCACTTAAAACCCGTATACGGCAAGTCAGCGCGTCCAGAATCGCGAAACTTCTGACCAACTCTGAGAGTAATCGACCCTACTCGCCGAGTACGTTTCGAATCAACATTTTCTCTAAACACGAAAGTCGTCCGAAATTGTGTCTACTTTTCATAACATTTTGAATCTCGTCAATCGGAGTTACGGTTCATGAGATATGGCCAAAACACTGATGAGGGGTCAAGCTGTCCAGCAACATCCTTCTTTCTTCACAATCCAAGATCCAAGCTTCCAATAGCTAGTTCCGCTTCATTTTCCTTTCGAGCATGTCTTTGTTGCTGAAAATGAAATATTTAATCTAATTAAGCACCTTTTGTTCATTAAATGAGACAAAATCAACATAAAGTATTAAGATCATGCATGAATTTTATAACTAAATATGCCCATATCAATCACTCCTCCGAATCCTAAGAAATTATGATATTTGTCAAACCCAAGAATATTTGTCATATATGTGGTCTCGGTAACCACATTGCAAAAGATTGTTTTGCTAAAACCTCTCAAAAACTGAAGGTAAAAGATTTTGCATACTATGCTCACAGAGCCCAAGAGCTGGCAGAAAGTGGAAAAGCTTTTGTTACCACATTATCAAGAAATGTTGATGGGTACTGGTCTTCTGGAGATGAGGATGAAGTGAGATCTGGAAGGAACATGTGTCTTATGGCAAGAAAATCAATCGAGTATGATGAAGGCTACTGGTCTTCAGGTTCAGAAGAAGACGATAACGATCCTGAGCCAAACTTTTGCTACATGGCAATAAACGATCCACCCGACAGAAGCATCTAATCAAATATGATAGTTATTCATAGAGCATATTAGTCGGCCATAGTAGTTAGTGAGAAGTTGGATATTGAACTGACCCGTCTTAGATTGATCTTTGTGGACTATCTACTATAGAAGGTCTGCATCAGAAAAAGTACATTCTTGTGATTGTTGACGACTACAAAAGGTTCACCCGAGTCTTCTTCCTTAGGCTAAAATCTAAAACAACCTCTGAACTTATTAACTTCATTAAAGGAATTAAAGTTCTTGTAAGAATCCGAAGTGACAATGGCTCTGAATTCACCAATGTCACCATTGATAAATTCCTCTTTGATAAAGGCATCGACCACAATTTCTCTTCTTACTAAACTCCTCAACAAAACGGTGTAGTTGAAAGAAGAAACCAAACTCTTGTTGAAGTCGCTCGATCGATGCTGAACTTTGCAAACCTTCCTCTCTATCTTTGGGATGAAGCTATGTCTACTACCTGCTTCACTCAAAACTGAAGCATCATTAATCGCCATCTGAACATGACACCGTATGAAGCTATGAATGGTCGTAAGCCGAGTATCTCGTTCTTACATGTTTTTGGTTGCAGATGCTTTATAAAAAATGGTGATCAAATCACCAAGTTTCAACTCAAAGCTGATGAAGCAATCTTTTTAGGATACTCAGCCAAATCCAAAGCCTACATAGTTCTGAATCGTCGAACTTGTGTACTTACAGAAAGCTTTGATGTCACTTTTAATGATAATTTTGCTCGGAACTCAAGTCCAACTCATGTTATAACTCACATCATGGAGTTCGATGCTCCACCTCTTGGGTCTCTGAATTGCCAAATCATCCATGAAGTCGACTTTGAAAGCCTGTTTGGACCATTAGAAACTGCTCTTGACTCGTAATATCGATCATGACCGTCCTCATCACCAGAAGCTTCGATTTCTCAAAATGTCCCTGTTCTGACGCCAACCTTTCCTCCATTTGATTCCGATCCATTTCAACCTTCTCAAGTTGAGGGGGAGAATAGTCATCCAACTCTTGAATCAAATGTTGATGGATTTCAAGATGCAGCGGATTAATTTGCTG